AAATAGTCCTATTTTAGAATCTCAACACTGAAATAAACTTTAAGCTATATCCTAGTAAACCTTTGGGTAAATATAGAAAAGCAACTTCCTATATGGGCCATATATGACGTGATGTCTATTTCTTAAATATGTTTTCATTTATCCTTCACTAATTCTTCTGGTTATTTGGGGGAAGTAGCCAGCTAGTCTACTTGCTAGTCTACTCTTCCAGAAATACACATTGAAATACAATAACAGGGACTATATCCAATGTTACTTGAAGGCACCCTGCTCATACAAGGGTATTTTCTTTCTCCTTCCTCTGCGGCCTTCCATCTGCTTGAACTCTGCTCCAACAAATGCCTCTTATCCCTCTAGAGCAGGCATGTCAAACTGCCAGCCCATGGCCCGGATGCGTCACGCCAAAACCACGCCCACCCCATTGCCGGCAATGGGGAAAAAGTCGAGATACGTCGTGCGACGCCATGTGATGTTGCGAGTTTCAGATGTCTGCTCTAGAGCATACGTGTGGCACCTATGGATTTGCAATGGGAACGTTTTTTTCTACTTTAGTCTACAATTTACATTTGTTTTATTTATTTATTTATCAGCTTTATATGGCTACCCATCTCAGAATGGCGTAAAGCAAAAAAAAAAAAGTATCACATATCCTGAAACCATTATAAATCATACATACATTCTATCCAACAAAGTAAGAAGCATAATTTCAGAGAAAAGACTAGTTTCCCACTCAAAAAAAAAACAACAAAACACCCATCAAATGTACAAAAGCTTATGGGAAATTTTAGGGTGCTTTGGGTAACTGCAAATATTTAAATCTTTTAAAATACGTAAAGAATTGGTGTTGAAACATTAGTATCTGAATAGTCCAAGTGTTAAGCTGTTCCTTAAAGTAGCTGTGAAATTTCATAGCTGAAAATTACTTTTCCTGCTGGATGTCAATTGTCACCAAATGTTAACGCAGGTGGCCAACTCACCCAAACACAAATGTTTCTCACTGGAAAATTGTTATAATTGATAAGTCCTTCAACTGTGGTGCACATTAGAATTTTGTGATGAAAATGTTTTTCACTTGATCCATTTTGTAGATCAGGCTTAAGGATTCACTTATCTGGATATTCCTACAGAAAACAATTAGGATGCCTGCTCCAAAACTGGGCTTCTAAGTTTGGAGTCTGTTTTACATCACAAGGACAACTCTGCATTTAAAAGTAAACCCTAACACGAGTGGGTTTATTTTTACAACCTTCTTGGCAGTGTTCTTTGCTACCCCTGTCTTATGGATCAAGGCTGAGGAATCGATGAAATGGGTTGAGCTGAAAAGTCAGATCCAGCCTCCTGCTATTTGAGCAGGATGGACAACGTCAAGAGCCCAGCTTAGGTAGAGAACTCCCATTACTTGCTATCATCCATTTTTTAATTGCACAAAAAGATAGGAGACATTCTTCTGATTTTTCATGCAAGGAAAGTTTTAAAAATAAAGCGAGAGTGCAAGAAGTACTATATCCCCCCCTTTTCCTTCTAAAGTATAGAAGAAGATTAGAGGCTGCGCTGTGCAAAGGACTTCTACAAACGTGTATTAATGCAAACCAAGTATGGGTAATGCTTAACTTACAACCATTTACTTAGTGACAATTTGAAGTTACAATGACAATGCAAAAAGTGACTTATGACCCTTTTCCCCACAACTGTTGTAGCATCCCCCTGGTCACATGATCAAAATTCAGACATTTGACAACTGACATGTGTTTATGATGGCTGCAGTGTCTGGGGATCATGGGATTTCCCTTTGCAACCATCTGACAAGCAAAGTCAATGAGGAAGCCAGCGTCACTTAACAAACATGTTAGTAACTTAACAACCACAGCAATTCACTGTGGCAAGAAAGGTCGTAAAATGGGGCAAAAACTCACTTAGATGTCTTGCTTACCAACAGAAATATTGGGCTCATTTATGGTGGTAAGTCGAAGATTACCTGTACTTCTTTTCAAACCGTTAAAGCAGACTTTTCTTCTGAAAGGGTTCAGGTGTCTCTTTTGAACATTGTCCACAATTATCTGCCTATGCACACATGGACAACATTTCATCAATGCTGGAACTGCCCATGAAACAAAGCGGCTGTGCTGTTACAGTCTTCAGAAGGGTGTAAGGCAGACATGTCAAACACAAGGTCCGGGGCCCGGATGCAGCCTGCGAAGTGGTTTCATGTGGCCTGCGATGCCATCCTGGAAACAGTGAGGGAACGGCCCCCGCTGCCTTGGCCCTGGCCCAGGCCAGGTGGGAGCCAATGTACAATTTTGTGGTGGCCCTCTATGCTGAAACGCATTCAGTCTTAGCTCCATAAGACACCCCCCCGCATGGCCTGAGAGGAACAGTGAGGCTCCTCCAGTGGACCATGCCTTGGCACTTGCCCCGGTCCCACCCCCTTCTGCAAGAGACCCTCAGATCTATCCCACTCCTGCCCAGGGCCCCACAGGCACCCTTGACACGAATGATGTAGAGCTGGCCACACCCACCAAGTAAGCCACACCCACTCCATCCACGCCCACCCAGTAGGCCGCACCCACTCTGGCCACACACACCCGGCCCCCTGAGGGCAATCACAATGCTGATGCGGCCCTCAATGAAATTGAGTTTGACACCCCTGGTGTAAGAATAGGCTTCAATACAGGGACGTAGTCCCAGGAAATTTAAACAGAGGTCACACACTAATGCTTTTGGGGAAATTTTTCCTTCAGAAACATATTTCTGAAATTTCTGCTCTGACAGAGCTAAGAAGGCTTGACTGATCAAGTCAAACACTATCTGAACAGAGAATATGAAATATCTGTTCCTCCTAGAGAGTGTGGGAGTTCAAATTTTAGCTTATTTCCTTTTTTCCCCAGTTTCTGAAAACAACTGGAATACCTATTGCAAATAAATTAAGCAAGTAAACCTAAAAGTACAAGATAAAGAGAATATTTTATTTAATCAAAAGTAATCATGCCAAAGAAAAAGCATTATGAAAGTTCACTGTTGTCACTCAGGTTAAGCCAAAATGACTAGTTCTGAATATTCTGAAGTTTATCTATTATTTTTGCACTTCATTCTGCAATCAAATAGCTCAAGGCAACCTGAGAGGCAACTGCAAATAAAACTCTGCTCCTTCTCTTGAGCAGCTCTTTCCAGGGCACACTGCCAATTAGGATTGAGAAACTTTTATTTTTTTTTCACACAATAACATGGTTCTTGGCATACTCTTTATACAGATCACCTAGCAATTATTTCTTATACCTGCATCTAGAAACTTAGAAAACACCAAAGGGCTGCTCATCTGACATCTTTACAGACATGCTCCATGAACAGTAGTAATCATGCACAATGGCTTAGATAACTTCATAAGTGACTTCATAAGACTAGGATGAGATATAACAGTTCTAGCATATCTCGAGGGGTTCATCCTTTGCCTCTGGACTTAAGAGAAATGAGGCACGACGGATAACTTTTGCACAGACATGCTCTGTGATGCTGAACATCCTAAATACAGATTATGGAACATCTTTATCATTTACCTCCTAAATTTCAGTGCCCGGCTTGGTGGAATTTGAACTCACAAATTCTAAAGTTTATTTATTTTCCCTTTGTTTTGAAAACAAAACATGTACCATTTTGGTAACTGGCAACTAAACCCTTTCCCCTGTGTCTTTGAATCTGCAAATTAACCCAAGCAATAAGAATTGCTTGCAGTTAGGCGGCATTTACATTTAATAAATTAAATTATCTAATGGCAATAACAATTTCATTTCGGGGTGCAAATTTTTATTCTTTTAGGTATAGTCTTCAAACAAAAAATAAATGCAGATTACCACATTTGCTCATTAAAACCAATCAAAAGAATGATAGGATTAAGCTTGCATTGTGAATATGGTTGTTTGTAAACCCTCCAGAGTCAGTTAGGTGGGATGGGCAGTGTAGAAATTTAATAAATAAAAAATATCCAACAACAACTCCCACCCTCTAATATTAGTCAGTGCTGTAGCTTGGCCTGTCAGTACTAAAGAGGCCTATGGTTGTAGGCCTCAGATTGAAGCTCTCTGCACTCAAGGCATTAGTTTGATTAATGCTGTGTGACAGGATTTGGCTGCCATTCGGTTTTCTAAATCTCCTGTACTTGTAGCTTTTCATTTATTCTCCTTGGGTCTCAAATTCCTCCTTAGAAATTCTACCACAGCTTCTCCTAACCCTAAGAAGGCTTATAATGCAGACAGTCCACACAGGAATAATGATTTAATTCCCCCTCAATCTATACTCTGTAGTAATATAAAGCTGAACCCATGAATCCTGTTCTAGAGTTGAATATGTAGCTACTGCAGATAGAAGTACCAGATATTGTTGCCACAATGTTAACAAGGCAAGAAAACCTGGATCAACTTTTGAATCATTGCTTAGAAGTTTACCAAAATAGCAAAGGTTAAATTCAGAAAGCCTGAAAAGTACATCAGTAGTTTTCAGCAAACCTTGGTAAATATAAGAATTGAGAAAGAATCGGTTTCACACTATGTGATGCATTATATACACAAACAGTTTTTGGTTTTAAAATTCAGTGGACTCTTAAATATCAAGGACCATATCAGTTACCAATCTTCAGACTATCAGCAGATAAAATTCTTCAAGCAATAGAATGTCAGGATTTATATATTCACCTTTTAGTCAATATGTCATAAAGAATAAAGTGAAGCTATCCAAAGTTGAAGATCTGCAATCGAAATTGGTAACTTAGAAAAAAATTCCACTGACCAGAATCAAATTTACTCCCAAGGATTTGTGTAAAGGATTGAAGTTTTATATTCTTATGGCCATATTGGCTTTTGTCATACAAGGGGGTTCAAAGCCAACGCCAATGACTTCCACCGAAATTAGCTTCCATCTGCCATTGGCCAACCCATAATAGTAATGTCAACCTACCAAACACAACCCCAATTAGATGATGTCCCACCCCAGCTTTTCACCCAGAGGCCTACCTGCAGCTCCTTCTCCGAATACTTCTGAGGATTTTTGCTTCCTTGGCTCTTTTTTCGAAGCTTCTTCAATTCACCCTGGCATTTCTCTACCGAGTCCCCTTTATTCCTTTGCTCGGTCTGGTACTTCTTTAGTGCAGCCTGAACATGGAAGATGTGTGGGAGTGCTGAGTAGCTGAAATAATAATAGGCTGAAGACATGGGCAGAGATTTCCCCTGTGGGTAATGAGCATAGTTTATATGCTTCCTACAAGCAGAAAGGTCTCAACCTCACACCTGCTGTAGAGGACATGTTTTGAATGAAGGTGCATTGATTAGAAACAAAAGCTGTCTTCCTTTGGGACATGCCAAGAAAGCATTTCCCATGAGTCCTGGACTCCAATTCCAATACACAATGCAATACACAGTGCAGCCCTTTTCTCCCCCAAGGCTATGTGAATCTCCTTTTTTAAAAAATTAAATGAGAATCCCTATGGATTTAATTTAAACCATGAGCATCCTTACAAATATGCAATAATGAAAGCATAATTTCTCTGAATAAAATGATCTTGAATAAATGTTTTTTTTTCTTAAGCACTTATTCCAATGCTTATTCAAATGATCTTGAATATTCTTCTCTTAATCTGCACCTTGCAAAAACAGATTAAGGCACCTGCCAGTCCTTGTAAACTCATCCCAACTATAAGCAAAGTTTACAGTTTTGCTCACTATCAACTAGCTTCATAATGCCATGTTAATAACTACACAGCTACTAATCCAATTTACACTCAATAAAAGTTCCTTGTTACTTACGCTTAGATACCGTGAATCTAGATCTACTTTCTGCTCAAGCTGTGTTAGTAGTTCATTGTGGAAGGACTTCAGCTGAGAAGTAAGCAGAAGCAGCATAAATATTAATATTGATCATAAGAAGAAAACTCTAAGTAAAGACAAATAATCTACATTAAGATACCAAACAGATCATTTACAAGTGGACATGATAATGGAAAACAGAATGGCGTGTGTGTGTGTGTGTGTGTTAAATTTGGATTGTAAGGCAATGAAGCAATAATGGATAATTGGAATAACAAGCAATGAACAGTTGTAAGTAGCATGGTTGCTTTCTACTTTAGAGGATAATTTTTGAAGATATTCTCTAGCTGGAGATTACTTGATTCAATTCTGCCTTGAAAATAAAGAAACATAAGACATAAAAATAAAAGTTTCTCATTTCTAGTTAGTAGCTGGACAGAAGACAGAGGAGGCATGCAGGTCATCTGTTAACAGACTTCCCCAGTAGGCTGAGATTCAAAATATTTCTATGCAAAATCTCTATTTCTTATTCTTTTGAGTAAAGCTTACTTTACCACTCTACTTATACAGTAGGTCAAGGCATAATTAAGGATATACCTCTTCTAATTCAGCAGGAAGCTACTTGAAACCAGTCAGAGCCATGATTTCTTGGACATTTCAAAAGTCAGCACATGACTTGTTTGGCCCACAATTTATTCAACTGAGGTCCCTATTCTTACTTACAGGACTTGGCAGCTATTCTACAGCAGATGTGTTTCAATTTTAAATCCACGTGTATCAGAAGCTCTGCAGGCTGCCCCTTAGCCAGGCTCTGCAAAAAGACAAGTTAATAACAACACAAGTGCTTACCATCTCTTCTAACTGATTTTGAATCTGTCTGTGGACTTCAGCCATCTGGAACAGAACATCCCCTGGAAAAAGTGAGACAAAAGAAGAGAGACTAAATAAAAAATCCAAGGGATTGTTCTGTATCAACCTTCTCTTCCCCTCGATCCCAACTGCAGCCTTAGTAACGGTTTCCCTTTACTGAAATTTGAAACAAGGGAAGCTTATTTCAAGGATTTATTTAAGACTAATTTAGATTAGAAGTGAATATACAACAGTGGCATCCAGACAGGAAAAGCAGATGTTGATCCTTGATGCCTGGCTGGTGTATTACAATAAGCACTGTAAAATGTAGTGTAATATGCAACTGAAGCTATTCTGGCTTGATCAACAAGCCATGATTTATGTCCTTGTTTAGTGTTATATGTGACTGCATCCAGTGCATGTTTTGCTCAGGCTAGCAGATGGTCATTCCTTTCCAAACACTGCAATAGCTAAGGATCTTGTGCCTTGTGTTTATTGGTGAATTCCCAAGAGAGGCAATAAAGGCAACACAGTTTTTTTGCAAATTATTTATTCCCTTGGAACCTCTCTTTCAGATCTTCAAGCAAATGAATTTTCTTAGAGGAGACATAGAATCAACATGGGCCTCACTCCCAGAGAAAAAAGATCTAGAAAGGTAACCCTTTAAAGTTTTGCTAAATAAAAGGCATCTGCCACTGTTCCCCTCCACGTGCATCCCCCATTTAGCAGGAGCTATTTGACACCAGTTGCCTTTTAAAGAATAGTGGCTCCTTTCAAATATATGCACATCTGCTATGGAAATATCTCCAATCTCTGATAAAAGCTATTGCTAGCTAATTATATTCCAGTTAAGGAGAAAAAAAAGTCTGAAGCAGCAACACTAGCATAATACCTTTATAAAGGTGGGCGTAATTTATATAAATATTGGAACGTTGCAATATACAGGGCAACCTGAAAACTAGTAACTATCAAAATGTGCATTCTGGAATTTTGTTATTTTGTTTACAATTGAACAACATGCTTAAAATTGAGCACTGGGGAAACTATGTACCAAAATGTTAATTTTAGGAAAAAGTATATATAAAAATGCTTGCAAAAATGTGCAGATAGATCTGATGTGTACATTAGACCTGTTCATGAAAATAAATACAAATATTTCTGCAGATGTTTTGGGTGGATGGATGGGTGGATGGATGGATGGATGGCAAGGTTGCCAAATAGAATTTGCAGTCGGTGAAATGAAAAAAATCCAATAAAATACATTTGAATTACATGTAAGTCTTGACAAGAATTCACTTTAAAAAAATCTCACAAAGAAATGATCCATTTCTGGAGATCTGCAAAATTCTTCCCATGGTATTTTCAACAAAATAATATAAGAATGTGGGAAGAGCACACCAAGTATTGATGTGGTGAAAATCCTGTATGATTTGTCACACATTTATACAGGCATAGTTGGATAGGGGGCAATTTGGGTATTGAATCCAATCGCCTCTGAACTCAAATGTATGCATTCCAAACAGATGACTATCTAATCTGACCCTGAACATATCCATTTCCTTTCTTACACTATTGGTTCCACTGCTACTCTTCCTGCTAGGAATATTTTTTTTTCTACCAATCAATTAGAATTTGTCTTCCAGTAACTTAACTCCATTATTCCATGTTCTGCACTTTGACAGGATAGAGAAGAGATTATGGAGCTTCTTCTATGTGGCATTCTTTCAGATGTTTGAAATGAGCTATTTATCTTCTCCATCCTCTCAAAGTTAAGTATACCCTATTTCTGCAACCTCTCTTCCTAGCCTCTATAAAACTTGGATCATCCTACTTTCCCTTTCCTCAACTTGTCTGTTTGTCTGATTCCTTATCAATGCTTAAGACCAAATGCAAGATGTAAGATAGGTCTGATAAACACAGAATATAGTAATTACTTCCCATGATCTGGAAACTATATGTCTGTTCTTAACCCTCTAGAGCAGGGGTAGTCAACCTTGGCTCTGTTATGACTCGTGGACTTCAATTCCCAGAATTCCTGAGCCAGCTTAGCTGGCTCAGGAATTCTGGGAGTTGAAGTCCACGAGTCATAACAGAGCCAAGGTTGACTATCCCTGCTCTAGAGGTTAGAGCACTCGGGTAGGATTAACAATGGCTCCTAAATAAAAAAAAATGTTTTTATTGGAAGCTGAAAGAAGTTTTAGGAGATACTTTATGCCACTCCTGGAATAAAGAGCTTGAATGTCCTGACTTAAAGACTTGTTTTAATTAATGTGAATTTAGTTACATAGTTACCATAAGAAATTTAGCTTGGTCATCACACTGTAGATCAGAACCAATAATATGACTTTGAATCAACTAATGTATATTGAAATACATCTTTCTAATTGGCTATATCTGTAGTGTTTATAATATTTTAATATAAAATAATTTTAATTTTTCAGATATAAAAATTGCTTAAAAGAATTATTATAGATACCCATTTTTCACTAATGGACTACTGATATGAATTAAAATATTGTCTGTCAAAGCAGGAAGATAAATGAATTTTCAAACAGTATAGTCAATGTTTTTGGAACTGTTCGATTCCATAACATAATTGAAGAGGCATCTTTTTTTCTTTAAAGAAAAATAATATCTAACTCTGTACCAATATATTGGACTTCTATTTCCATTGTGAAGAACCTTGCTCTGTTAAATTTCATTCTGTTATTTTTAGCATGTTTCCCTCATCTATCAAGATTCAAAATAATTTCCATTTCTTAAAACATTAACTATGTTGTATGATCTGTCAACTTGATAAATTGTGCCTCCACCTCTTCAATCATTAATAAAAATGTTGAAACTGCAAGGCCCAGGACTGTACCCTGTTATACAAATCAATAGCTCACTCCAAATTGATGTGGTATTATAGATACATACTTTGTTTCAGTGTGACTTTTGAGTCAGCAATGCCTTCATTTATTAATGAAATTCAGCGCACACTTAACTAGCTGCTAATCAGAATCCCCTTTGTTAAATGTTTTCATTGAAATCAAGATATACGTACTGCATTCTCACAATCTACTAAGAAAGTGACTCAATTTAAAAAAATAACAGTCTGACAACATTTGCTCGTGATCAGTTCATGGTGATTTCTAGTTCAGTTAGTCCTCGACTTATAACCATTCATTTCATGACAGTTTGAAATTACAATGGCACTGAAAAAAGTGATCTATGGCTGTTTTTCACACTTAATGAGTATTGCAGCATCCCCACATTCACAATGATCAAAATTCAGACGCTTGGCAACTGACACATATTTATGATGGTAGCAGGGTCCTGTAATCAACTTTTGCGACCTTCTGACAAGCAAAATCAAGGGGGAAGCCAGATTCACTTAACAACTGTGTTACTAACTTAACAATTGCAGTGATTCACTTAATAACTGTGACAAGAAAGGCCCTAAAATGGGGGCAAAACTCACTTACCAACTGTCTCACTTAGCAACAGAAATTTTGGGCTCAATTATGGTCGTAAGCCGAGGATTACCTGTAATTACCACAACTTTTTCAAGGTCCTTATAGAATGATTGTTTTATGATCTGCTTTAGAAACATACCAGATAGCGTTATTATCTGACTAATCTATAGTTTCCCCAATCCTCTCTTTTCTGCGTGTTAAAGAAAGGGACATTTGTTCTTTTGCAAATTGTCTAGCCCTTCATCTGTTTTCCAGGATTTCTCAGAAATACAAGGTACAGCCAGATCATCAGCAAGTATTTTTAGTACTCTAGATTAACAGAGATATAAACACATTTAGAGTGAAGAGATATTCCCCGCTGGTATATTTGGTACTCCCAAACGTGTCTTGAATGCAGCTCTTAGGCTAGAAGCAGAGCTGATTAGAGTAGATACAAGAGCTTGGCTGGTTATGTTTATTTATTGGCTTAAATTCATCTACCACCCCCCTGATTGCTCTATTTTGCTTTAAGTGAAACCTTTCAATCTACTTTGGATGAAGTTCCTTACTTTCATGTGGCCTCTCTCTCCCACTTTATATAAACTTGGCTGGCCTCATGCAAAAACCCTAATAGCTAAATAAGTACTTGGAATTGAGTTTTAGTATAATTTGAACTGATTTCCCAGCTTTAGCACAATTAATCAGAAAGATATGGCTATCTTTACTCACTGACTGATCTAAACTACTCGTGGGCTTTAGGAGTATTGATATAGGGCAGATATTGCAATCTTCTTGTGGCTTATCATCTCTATCCATGTGGCATACAAAAGATAGAATCAATACATAAGTTCTTTTACACTGTAGGTTTTATAACATATTGTGCCAAAACTATATCTCTCTCCTCTTAACAGCAACCCCTAGTCAATCCGATATTTTCTATGTTGATTTCCTGCTTGTTGACATTGCAAAAATGTGTTATTTGGTAACAAGATTCCTGCAGGGAATCTGTAGTAGAAAATAAGATAAATCCGTGGTGGCGAACCTAGAGCCCTCTCTGTGGGCATGCACGCCGTCGCCCCAGTCCTAGGCCTTCAGTCCCGTCCATGAGCAACCTGCATCAATCCCCGCACAGGGTAAGGTTGCCACGCCCGCCCCTGCCTCCCCAAGCGGTTTTTTTACTAACTTGCCTTTCAGCTGCATTCCATTTCTCCGTTCGCTTCTCAGCCTTTGCTGCATGTTTGTGGGACTATCGTTAAAAAAAAAAGTTCCATCAGACTTTCTAACTTCTCACCAGATCTCAAGAAGTTAGAAAGTCTGATGGAACTTTTTTTTTTAAACAATAGTCCCACAAACATGCGGCGAAGGCTGAGAAGCGAACGGAAAAACGGAATGCAGCTGAAAGGCAGGTTAGTAAAAAAAACGCTTGGGGGAGGCGAGGGCATCTGGGCGGGGGTGGCAACCTTACCCTGCATTGTGATGGGAGGGTGGGGCACGTGCCCTTCCCATGCCAGGCCAGCCCCTGCAGCCACGGGGTGGCCGTGCTGGACGGTGGGGAGCTGGGTGTTGAGGTGGGGGCCGGCAGGCCGACCAAAGCAGCAGGTGGAGCGCCGGAGGTTTGGGGAGGG